TTATAAGTTGTTTTTTTTTACTCAAAATATCAATTTGTAAATATCTATTCAATTAACTGATCTTTTACTCAACTTTTGAACCTTCTGACCTCTCCTTTGTGTCTTTCATGCCCTCTCTCTCCCTCCCTCTCTTTGTCTCTACCTTCTTCTAAAGTTTTTTGTAGATTACTGTTAAAAAGAGAAATGAAATGAAAATAAATTTAGTGAAAATACTGTTGTAGGAGAAGTGAAAGATACCAATAAAAATTTGGTGGATGCTACGTTTGTGTGAATTTCTTCTCAAACAAATACCTTTTGAATGGAATGAATAGCATTCCAAATACATTCTGCTGCTGTTAGTTCGTGTTTTTCTTATTTGTTTGACTTTTCTGTTTATTTTTCTATTTTGTTAATTAGTTAACTTTTTATTTTGAATTTTTTTCTGTTTTTTTTTTTCTTGTTGAGCAACAAGAAAAAAGGGATAACATTTTGTTCCTTCCCAGTATCTTTTTTTTTTTGTTTTTTTGCTTATACTGCAGTATTATTAGTGAAGTATTCAAATGCATAGATATGGCCTCAAATTCACTTTGATTTTTAGTTTTGGACGACAACAACAACGCTACGGTGTACAACAACTGTAGCATCTGATTAATTTGGTTTATCAAACAGGAGTTACTGAACAGTTTTTTTAATGTAAAAGACGTGAAAGAAACTCAAAAAACGGTTTTTTAGGCGTTGATTGATACTTTTATAGGTCTCATCTATTTAGCATCATATTCCGTCTCTCTAATTTTTGCTTCCCAGATCTTTAGAAAAAAAAAAACAGTGCTTTTTCTCAGGATAGTCTAAAAGTCAAAAAAAGTCAAGGTACTATTAGCAAGATACGATTGAGTTAAATTTATTAAAATTTTTAAATTTCAAAAGCATTTGCAAACTTCTGAATTTATTTGCGAAAATTTTTTAGAACCACTAGATGATTTCATCAAGGACAGTTTCAGAGCCACTCGATGTTGCTTTATTGAGAATATCTTCAATTTTTTTCTTTTTAGAATTTGAACAACGGAATTACTCTATTTTTTTGTCGCTTTTATCAACTAAGCCAAACTTTACCGGTTTTGCCATTTTGAAGTATTCATAAAATGCAACAAAAACATCAGTATAGTTACTATTTGGCATTCATGTTATTAGTTTGAATAACTTAGTTTTTCTTAAGAGTTACAAATAAACAGACAA